GAAATTAAATTTACTATTTTTAACTTTTTATATTGAATGAAGTATACTGTTGATAGCATAAAAAAGTGAAACAACCTAAAGATGTATAAAATAGCATATTAATAAAATGCGGGAAATGGTTCCGTATAAGTTCTAATATGAATTATATAAGTGTAAAACAATACAAATTATTATTCTTTTATGAATCAACAGCAGATTGATCAATATATTAATTTAGTTGGAAAATATAATCACACAGCTCGAATTGTTAACTCTTGAATAGTTGTAGCCCATACTTTGATTCGATCATTTTCATTCATTTTCATTTCAAAAACATTCAGTTTTTGACATTTCCCAGCATAAATTTAGATATCCTTTTGAATAACATAGCTACCCTTGCAAGTTTTGTATTTGTACAAAAACAATCTAAAAACCAAAATATTTATATTCCGCAATATGCTTCAACATTTGGTCGTTTATATTAATAATTTACTCTGAATTTTATTAAGCTAATAATCACATATGTATTTAATTTTCCCACGTAATAATGAGCGTTTGTTCAACCATTCCTTTGCCAATTTCACCTAATTCAGAATTCATTTTATTTTCCAATTATTTTAAATTATAAAGCTTCGAAAACCATGTCTGTGTAATCAACGTACAAATATATATGTATTAACAAAATCATTTATATTTTGAATACTTTCTATAGAACGGCTAAACAGTAGAGGACCAATTATACTACCATAAGGAAGCGTCAAGTTAAAATTCAAAGTTCTACTATCAATTTTATCAATTCGTATAAATCGTGATATATTTTCCAAGTCTGATTGGAACCGTTGAAAATGTATGCTTTGAGTCTAAACAAACATATCATAATTTTCTCATCAAGAATTCATGATTTACCACATGAAAAGCTTTCGATACCATCACTAATACCAGCGATACAAACCTTCTGCTATCCCTTGAAACCATATTGTTAGAAAGCGAATTATATTTATTTGGATGCAAAGTAAAGTCATTGTATTTATCCAAGATTTTAGACACAACCGGACTTATGCAGATCGGTTTGCAATTATTAAAGGAGCATATAAATTTTCCCTATTTTCCCTATGTTAATGCTTTTTAGGACTACACCTTCGAATAATGATTTATTTATTATCGTTCTTAAGGGTTCACATAAGTCCTTGCTACAGATCAACCCATTTGGTATTACTTGTTTATTTTGTTTGTTTACAATGTCAAATTTTAAAAAACTTATCAGTCGAAGAGAACTAATGAAATATTTTAATTTCGTTTTTGGGTGCCAACACAGTTTAAAAATCCAAATATTGATCTCATAACATATATTATTCATTGTTAAATACTAACATTTTTAATTTCTTTTATAAACAATACGCATACACATTTTTATTTCTTTATAAATAATTTCTCAAAATGTGCAACTTGAATGTGAGTACCATTATCATTTCCTCTTAAAAATGATAACTTTTCATTTTATCAATATTCATCTAATATTTTCTTTCTTATTCAATATCGTTAAAATATAGTACACTAGCTTTGCAATTGATCCTTGAAAATCAACTTAAAAAATATCAAAATACTAACAATAAAATGAACAAAAACTAAAAGCAAAATTTAAAAAAAAAAACCATTCCACAAAACTGAAACTCTTAAAAAAAAAAAGGAAAAATACTTGGCGTTTATAACGAATCCTCAATATTTCATAATAGATACAACCGCGCATACATATAAAAATTCGCTTTTTACATAAAAAATTGAGTTCCTTACTCTCTCTTGTACGAGTATATATGTATGTACATACATAAATGCATTCATAAATGATTGATGCAGTCGGCAGTTGAATAAACTTTTGTTATCATTTTTATCTTTAGTTGATTGCTTTGCTTTTCATTTTTATTGGCTTGTCTATACATATACACGTTTGTAAAATGTAGTTTCTCGATATACAGTATAGTAATATCAAAAAGTTTTATTTTTAAAATTGTGTTCAAAAATTTGTAATATTTTTCATTAAACTATATCAAATTTTCAAAATTGTACTGACACTTTTTATTGTACATATTTAAACCTAAAAGTTAAAGAATATGACTATAAAAACAAAACTAAGCGGAGGACTTAAATCTCGAAAATGTTCAGTAGTTTGCATAATTATGTCATCCACACATGGAAACAGACAAAGGAAAAAAAAATCCCCAGCGATCAATTAAAACTTTACAGTTAAATTCACGGCGCTAATTTCGCTTCATTCTGGCTAGTCCGATTTATTTATGTATAAACCTATTTTATATGAATTTTGACAATTCCCCGATATCAAAATTCGTTCGGTTTTTTGCCGTGACTTGAAAATAAATTTACGTTAGCGCTGAATTGTTCCATTCAACTTTCAAATACTTTAATTCCTTACATAGTCGCATTTTATAGCTGTGTTAATACGGCGATTTTTTCATCAGAGCCTTAAAAAACATAGAATAAATTTAAAAGCCCCCGAGAAAGTGCCGATATTTCATTGATTATTATACTTTTGATGTAGATTGAAAATTTCATTCAATTTAAAACTACGCATACAAAAAAATAAAAAGACAGCTTGGCATAGATTAAATAAGTCCTTCGAAAATAACTTTTTTCTCATATTTTATTCGATTAAATTTATTTTATTTTTGATTATTTTTATATCGTTTAATACTGTTGTCATTATTTTGATATATTTTGAGTGATATCATATCCAACATCAAAATAATTGTCAAGGGACACAATGGTAAAATAGCAGTGTTCACAAAAATATTGTTATGAGTGATAGTGACAAATTGTTGACAAGTATAACTTTTTCCATTGGAAAAGAAAGAAAAATCCGAAAAACAAGAATATTTTTGTCTTTGTTTTGTTAATAAAAAATTGATTTAAAATTTTATTAATTAGAAAATTTTTAAATTGAACTAGAATTGTTTTGAATAAGAGTTCAAACTACATACATACATACGATAGCTTGCAAACAAAGATTTCCAAACTTAATTGTCAAAGCTTCAGCTCTGATTTTAATATGTGTCTCAAAAATTTAAATTTTATTGGCTCAATAATTAAAATTTACCATAAAAATTAATTTTTGTACTCATCCCGAAAATATGCAATTTTTTTCAAATTTTTTATGTTATTTTATTATGTACTCCATATCAAGTACACAATATCAAGTTCTAAGCATAGTAGATAAATCGAATTCTACAGAATAAAATATCTGTCTGCAGAGAGTGTTGTCAAACTTTCCCAGAACTACCAACTTGAATTATATGCCATAAGCAGAAAAACATCAAAAACTCTTTGCATTCGCACATCGCAGATTTAATTTAGTACTGCCGCCGTGAAATCAATCTTCCAACACAATAATTATTATTAAAACAATTACATTGACAATACATAAAATTGGCTTGCGTTATTATGATTTAAATAAAAATTAATCTCTCACATTAAATTTGAATTAAAAGGAGGAATTCTTCTTTAAGAAAAATATTATAACCTTTTACATGTGTGTATAAATCATCTTAAATTTTGAACCATTTATATTAAATATTCCTATTTAAATTAAAAAATTAAAAACAAATTTACCTATGTATATAATTTTCTATTATATAATATCAAATTATTTGTTATTATACCTCAAATACTTTTATATTATCCGAATTTGGGTTATAGGCAAATATTTATACACTATAAGAATGTTTATTTTTAGAATATAACTTGGACTTATAACTAGGATTTTTCTTTTTTATAAAGTGATATAAAAGTTTGAAAAATATAGTGCAAAAACACCATTTTAATAAAGAGAAGAAAAAAAACAAGTAAAACTAAGAAATAAATAAAAAAAATCCAAAACATTCTTTTAATCGGATTAGAATTTTTTGAAAATAAAAAATTGCAATATAATCACACATTTATGTACACATACATTGTATAAAATAATATACAAGAGTTTTGAAAAAACATTTATACTTTAAATTTTTTTTAAAAACTCAAAAATATCACTCTAATTCCCAAAATAAAAAAAACCAAGAATATAAAAGCAATTCTCACTCGCAATCCATTTTAAGTCTCTTATATTTTAACCTTATACTATATGTTACACGTATTATACTATACCTTATACTATTACGGGTCGATATGTGTGCCGGTATACATATATTTGAAAGGAGTGACTTTTTGAAAGTTGTTATATACCAACATGTGTCATGTAAATCCAATTCTAAATGTGTGCCAGCCTTATCCTACTAGACGCGTTACATTTTGTTCGTCACGTCGATTCTTTTTTTTTTTTTTTGAAATTCTACTAGACGCGACGAATGGTGAGGTGACAGAAAAAGCGGAGCAATTTTTCCGGTGTCAAAATCTTAAAAAACCTCTTTAAACTAGAAGCAGACACCAAAAATATATAAATAAAAACCGGAAATCAGAGAAAGAAAGATGTATTCAATCTTTTTATGGTTTTTTGATGAAAGTGATTAAGAAAATAAAAAAAAATTAATTTTCAATTAACTCGATTAAAATTTCAAATTGCTGCCGATCAGTTACACTAAAATTAGAAAAAAGAGTAAAAATTACTTTTAAAATATCTACATAATTATACTTACATCTTCTACATGTTCTCTCTCGGCAACAAAATTGTGACATTTTTTAAAGTAATGTGAATAACATTCTGGACGCTTTTTGTGACAAATAAAAAGACGCTGACATAACGCTGATTAGTGATTGTTTACCAAAAATTTGTGTTCTAAATTGCATATGTACATATATGTATATGTACAAGATTTTTGTATTTACTAATATATTACAATATAAATCACATAAAAAATCTTTAAAATATCAAACCTAATCTGTATAACAAAAATTTTAAAAATAAACAAAGCTTATCTTTACAGAATTAATTATTCAACTCCAAAATCTTTAATGAACAATGTTAACGATTTATATTTATAAAATATTTTATTTGTATATACTCATTATAATTTACTTTGTAATTTAATAACAATTTACAAAAGATTAAACAAAATATAATGACATTTTCATACAGTATAAAAGTTTTTTTAAACCGTGTACATTTACATACTATACGTAATATATATTCTATGTACATGTATGCGAATATGTAGATATAAATATTTTTTTTATACATATAGCTATCTGCTATTAACCGACAGTAAAACAGTAAAAAAACCCACATTATGTAATCGAGTAACTTTTATATGAAAATTTATAATTTCATTAATTTGGACTTGTTAATAAAAATTTGAAATTTAATAATTTGTACACATGTAGAAATTTATATATTAATATTGAAAATTTTTAAAATTTGTTATACTACTTATACATAACTGTTATATAATACAATATAAGTATTATAATCAGTTTAATTTTATGTTCTTGATCTTGGTGTTGTAGGATATTCTTCTTGATAAACTGGTGCATCATTTTCATCTGTATTATCACCAAAATATGTATATATATCTGTATATAAACGTAATGTAACAGTCATTGTATAATCAATCCAATTTTTAACAGCTGGTATATTTGTATAAAATGCTGGTACCGGTTTACCACAATCAATACCGGAATCAACAATACCAATTTGATAATATTGATTTAATGAATTTTGTATTGGACAAAATAATGGTGAACCACCATCACCTTTACATGCATCTTTATTTAATTCACCACCAGCACATAATATTGTTGGATTAATTGGTACTAAAACACTATCATTTTTTTCTTTTAAATATTGATTAACTCTTCTTTCACATTGATTTTTTTCAATAACTGGTATTTTAATAACTTGTAATATATTTTGATATACACCTTTTTGTTCTGATGTACCATTTTTACCCCAACCGGCTGTATAACAATATTGTCCATCAAAAATCATATTCTCTGGTGGTAAACATATTGGTTTAATATTAATATCAAATATAAAATTTTTATTTACAACAATTATTGCAATATTATTATATTTTGATGCAGGTCTATATTGTGGATGTATAATTATATTTGATATATCTCTTTCTTGATGATCTTTAGATTCAACTTGTTTAAATATATCATAATCACCAGCACGTACATATAATTCATTTTTATAACTATCTTTTAATCCAATAAGATTTGCATTAACATATTTTTCTAATTTTTGTGCAATTGTTATTATAACTTTTTGATGTATCAATGATCCGGAACATACAAATTTATTTCTATTATGTAAAAATATTGCTACAATCCAAGGATATTCAAATTCATTAGCATCTGTACCATTTAGAATGCGATCTTGTAATTGTGAATTACGTATACCACATGGAATCAATTCTGTATTATCATTATTATTATTATTGTTATTACTGCCACGATTTATATTAAGATTATTAATATTAAAATTTTGTGGTAATAAATTACGATTAGTGCTTCCAGTACTAATTGTTTTAAATATTTTAACATTTGGTTGATCTCGGTATTTATCAGCTAAATAACGATCAAAATATTCCATATCCTCTGATGGTATATCATCATAATTAATTTTTTTCTTAACATTAAATATATCGGACATATATTCTGCATTTGTTTTAAAAATTTGTTTTAGATTTTTCAAATAAATTTCTTGTTTTTTACTTGATAGTTTTTCATCATTTTCTAATGTTCTTACAATAAGTAAATTAATTATTAAAATTATTTGTACAAAAAAAATATATTTAATAAACATTTTTTTTTTTGCAATTCAATAACGCGTTTTATTGACTTGATTATTAAAAACGAACTGAAGTATGGCTATAATGAAAAACTGATAAATTATTCATCTCATTTAATTAAAAATTGGGTTTTTTACGAAAGCTTTGAATTGAGTATTTTTTATAAATACATAATATATGTACATATGTACATATGTAGGTATGCATATTTAATTTTAATGCGAGTTTATGTACAGTAGAAATCTGCTGCAGTGAACACAATAAAAACACGAGCTATTCATTCTATTGAACAAGTTCAATAAATTAAATGTCAAATAAATAAAACTAAAAAGTAATTTTTAAGGTTTCAATGTCAAATTTTTTAGATATTGTTGTAATACTTACTTCTGATTCCAATAATGTTATACTTGAAAACTTTTTACTTAAATTTGAATCTTTTAAAATTTATTTTCAGACTTTAAAAAAACCTTGAAACACAATGAATGCAACTTTAATACAACAATGTAACACAATACATAAGTAAGGTTCATGATATTTGGCAATCATATGTCCAATTATACGTCAAACATATTCGTGAAGTTTTTGTGAAATACGTTATTTTATTAACAGGTTATTTTATTATTAATAAAATTTTATAAACATTTTGGAAGAAATATGTGACGCAATAAGAAAAAAATTTTCTCTCTTGAAAATTATGTTATGCTAAAAGTATATGATTCCTTTCTTCCCACTTGCCGAGTAAAATAGAGAAATACGCAATAACGCCCTAAATCAGAATCGTTGATTTTAATATCACGGCTAACGGAGTCGATTTTTTTATGATTTAATGATTTAACAAACCGCAAATACTTTGTTTCATTGTTATTTAAAGAAAATATACCGCGAATAAACTGAAAGTAAACAAGTACACTTACTAATTACATTATTCTATAATAATATAAATGAAAAAGTGAATATCAAAATATAACAATACTAACCAAAATTATGTAATTTCTGTTGCATTTTACGTAAGCATTCATATTCGTACGTCACGTCGCGCCACAAAATGATCGCCTAATTTTAGATTGTGGCATTTTTTAATGGGAAATACCTTAGAATGCATGTATACCGAATTTAAAAGTAAGAAAGGCTCAATAAATTTTAATCAAACCAAACAAGAAAATCATGTACGTATTATATCACGTACGTATAATAGACAGCTAAACGCTACATATGTATGGAGGTATTATGGGCTTGTTGAAGGTGTATGCATTGAGCGTGTGTACAGCACTTCTTTTATGCTTCTAACCCCATTACTCGTATATATATTTATTATATAAGTTTATGGTTCCACAATTCACCATTGCTACTTATTTTCTAAGAAGAGAGGGTAAATGAAGCACAAAAGAAGTCATACACATTTAAGAAGGTCCATTATTTTATTTATCACATTATTAGTAACACTTTATGTGTGTGTATTTACTATTTTTTCCCGTAATCTTAATCAACTCGAAGCAAAATAATAATGGAATTAAATTAAATATTTTGATTTTATTTTTTTATTGGTATAACCACAATATTTATACAAGCTATTATTATATTTATGTACCTACATAGTATGTTTTAATAAAAACACACAAGGTACATATGCTTGACTTTTCTTGGTATAACACTAAAATTAATTAAAACACGCTTTACAATCTTATTATTTTTATACAATAATATCAATACTACAAAATAACTGATTTAAATTTAGTATATAATTAAGTTAAATATGAGAAATCTTGTAATTTTTAATAGTACAATCATTTCAAATAAGTGTTCTGCTTAAAATAAATTTAAAAATTATATTTTTTAGGTTGATAAGTTGGTGTTAAATCTTCTTCAATTTCATCTAAAAAATATTTGTAAAAATCTATTTTAAGATTAAAAGCATCTGTAACAATGAAATCAATCCACGGTCTAAAAAATGCAATATTTGTAAAGAATGTTGGTATCTCTAAATTACAATTTGATGCATCCGATACAACACCAACTTGATAATATTGATTAATAGAATTATCAATTGGACAAAATAATGGTGAACCATTATCACCTTTACAAGGATTTTTATTAAATTTACCACCAGCACAAATCACACTATCATTATTAATTGGTAAGAATGAATTTTTATTATTTTTTCTATTAATTTTTTCATATTGGTAAATTCTTTTTTTACATTCATTTATTTCAATTACAGGTGTTTCAGTTACCTGTAAGATATTTTGATATTTTCCTAATTTTTTCCTTCCATTTTTACCCCAACCAGCTGTAAAACAATTTTTATTATTAAAAATTGCATTTTCTGGTGGTAAACATATTGATTGAACATTGTAATCAAATGTAAAATTATCTCTTAAATATAAAATTGCTATATCATTATCATATAAACTTATTGAACGATTAAAATGTGGATGAATTATTATTTCATCAATTATATTAATTTGATGTCCTTTAGATTCTTTAGTATTACTTAAATCATAATCACCAGAACGTACATATAAATTATTTTTATATTTATCAATTATTGATATTTCTTCAGCACTATTTGAATCTACATAATTATCAAAAATATGGGCTGCTGTTAATATAAGTCTTGGATGTATTAAAGTTCCAGATGAAATGAATTCATGTTTTTCAATTGAACTATTTTTAAAAATTGCTACTATCCATGGAAATTCAAATTCATATGTAGAACGACCATTTGAAATTTTATCTGTTATATCTGGAAAATTACGTATACCACAAGGAAAGTTTATTTTTTCAACATTATTTTGTATTTGCATAAAATTTCGATTTTGTATTTTAGATTTAAATGCTTTAAAAATTTTTATACCAGAACTATTATATTTTTCATATAATATCCGATCAAAATATTCTTCATCTTCAGGTGGTATGTCATCAAAATTTATTTTTGTTATAAGATCAGAAATTATATTCGAATATGATTTATCAAAAATTCTTTTTTTATTATATTCATAAATTTCTCTGTCATCAATCAGCACAGATTCAAGATTTTGTGATTTTATAATTAATATTGAATTAAATATTAATATAGTAAAAATATATGATATAATTGGTAAATTCATTTTTGCTTGATAGCTTACAAAATTTCTATATTATAAATATTAAATGCTCGATTTCCCTGTATTATAATTTAAGCGATAAAATATTTAATGCGTGCGAAATGTTTCACCGCCAAAATTAACTAAAGGTAAAAAAATTTTGCAGATAAAACTGAATCAAAAGTTTTTTTTTTTCACTTGAAATTGAAGCGCGCTTCTTCTGTATGTTTTTTATTTGTAAAATCTCGTTTGTTTTTCTCGTACAACAATAATTTCTTATTATAAATTAAAGTTGAGTCATAAACTATGAATAAAAATATAATTTTATAAAGAAACAAAGCTTGTATAATGAACAACAATATTAATATAAATTCTACTAAATACAAAGTTGTTTGCCGGCATTATATTAAATAATAGCATTTTGGATTTGGATTTAAAACAAATCAATATGAAATTTTTTTTTAATTTGTTTATTAAAATAAATTCGCGTAATAAAGTTTCTATGAATTTTACTTCTATGGCAAAAATTCGCAATTATTATGTGCATAAGTAAACATGTATATTGTGGTCTCCATGTTATTTACTTTTAATTCTTAGATTTTAACCGAGTCGTTGTACTCTTAAATTGTGAACGTAATAATATAAACATTCCTATTATAATTTTAATATTAAATAATACAATTGAAAAAAAATTATACATGGTAAACATAAACCTTTGTACAGTGATGTTTCAATATAACGAACATAATAATATCGCGGTCGTTCGCTATTTCAAATCGTTCGTTGTATCGAATAGATTAAAAGTAAGATAATGTATGTAATAAAATCAATGGAAATTGTGGCAATTTTTATTCAAATATATATATACATAATAAAAAATTAATGCTCGTTGTATCATAAACCTTTCATTCTTTAATATTCGCCTTTGAACCTCTTTTAATTGTTTCATGTATTGAACCGACAATGAACACGTGAATTACATAATACAGAATAAAATATCACAAGGGATAATGTAATGGACATTGCTGCAAAATCATAGTAATTAGAAAGCAAAAAATTGACTTTTTGTTATATAGACTACATTTTTTAATTCAAAAAATTTAAAAATTTAGCTGTTCGTTGTATTGAAAATATCGTTAATTTGGTCATTCGTTATATTGGAACACCACTGTAATAAATATAATATTCAATATTATGATGAAATTCGTAACAAGCTTGATGAACAATTTATTCAGAAAATTTTATTTTTTTTTAAATTAGATAAGTTGTATAAAAATGATTTAAATGTTTCTGTTACAAATTAACAGAACAAGAAATTAAATTTTAAGCTGAAACCAAATTAGTATTCGCATAATAAACTTGGTTGCATCCAAAATATTTATAAAATTATAAATATTTCTAAGAAATACTGCATTTTTTCTACAATAATACATTTTTTTAAAACACAAGTTGACTGTAGGTATTTTCAAGAACTGAGCATTTAAGCTAGTATAAAAAAACAAATGTTCTATTCGTCTTAGTTTTTACTATAACTGGAGGAAAGGATTTATAAAGGTGAACTTATATGACAATTTTGTTCTTTTACATTACTTTTGATTTTCAAATTTACATCATAAGCTATTACATTATAATTGTCGTAATTGATGTGCTATAAACAAATTTTTATCCCTTTTATTTTTTTTATTTTGGTAAAAAAATATACCGATTAATATATGGTCTTTCATTTAAGAGTTATTTACGTATCATTGTTAGGAGTAATAAAAAAAATTAACTATGGATCATTACTGTTATTAGCAGTAATTTACCATTAAAAGCAAAAGAATTATAAAATTATTACTTTAATTATATTATATTAAAGCTTTAAAATACAACATTTTTAACTGAACTGTTTCAAAACTTAAATTTTGACGACTTTATTGTTTTACAAAACGATTTTTTTATATGACTATTATTCCATTTCATCCGTGCTATTACCAACTCCAAAGCAAACTCGAACTAAAAGGTTAAAAAAATTTTATTCGTAACTATTTGGATACAAATGTGAATTAAATTAAAATTTCTTACCTGCTTCGAAATTCTTCACATTGTATACTTTTAATCTAGGATTTTTCTCACCACCTATTGCAAAAGTAAAGGAATCTTCCGGACATTGTTGCAAACATTGTATTCTTCCTATTTGAAAATCATGCCTATATATTTCTTTTGCTTCTCTGTAAGTAATTTTTTTTATTTTAAGCTAGAATTTTAAGAAAACTTTTCAATTTCAATGTTATTTAATAAATTCTTACGTTTGCCCATATTTCCAAATTTTTAAGGAACCATCAGCTCCAGATGTAACTAACATACTTTTTATTTCGGTATTAAAACATATTCCTGAAATTTCATCAGGATGTGCATCGATATTCCATAAATAATTTTTGGGTTGTCTTACATCTGCATAATATAATTTCCCTGTATTTGTTCCAGCTACAAATAAATTTCCATCATTGGGATTCCATACAACTTTTTCAACTTCTGCATCAGTTTTCCATTTTAAAAAATTTGTGTTTATATTTTCTAAATCTCTTCCGTCAAATAATCTAACCACACCATCAGAGGAACCGCTTAATAGCGTTTGTGGTTCAGACGAATGAAATGAAATAGTTTGCACTTTGTCTTTAAAAGCCTTAATAGTTGTGTGCGGTTTTCCCTCATCTAAGTCCCATAAAATTACAGATTTATCAACAGAAGCGCTAGCTAAAATATGTGTGTAATTCGTATTCCATGACAAATCTAAAACAGCATCTGTATGACCAAATTTTTCTTTATTTTTCTTTCGATTCCCTTTACTTCCTAGTTTAAATACGGGCTCTATCGAATCCTGAATATCTAAATCCCATATTGTAACTATTGGATCCATGCAACCAATCGCGCACAAATTTCCGTTACTTTCAGAAGCAGGATCATGGTTCAACCATTCTATACACAAAGGAAAACTTGGTAATAGAAAATCATGTAAGGTATAAAAACTTTCTTCTTCGGCATTAAACACCCATACTTCTAATGAGGCCGCATCATCTTGAACATGTCCAACTAATATTAAATTATCTGTTGGCTTAATAATTTCATCCTCAGCCTCTGAATCTTCCTCGTCTTCAATTTGTTCGTTTTCATTAACAATAGCAATATCTCTCACACTTGCCACTTGTGTCGTGGGTTCATCATCATATCGTCCAAAAGAAAATTCATCCTCAGGATTAACATTCTCATTATCTGCTCCTTCCATCTCCACATCGTTATTTCCATCATCGTCATTTGCATTTTCATCATCGTCATCACTGTTATCTCTAAAAATTAAAAACAAAACAAAAAATTTCAGTAAACCAATAAGATATTACATTTACCCTAACTCTTCCTTTGTTTCAGAAATTACTCTGGCCAATTCAGCAGGTGTTAACACAACCTAAATATGTATTTAAAATTTTTTATGTAAGTTGGTTTTTTCAAAACAACTATGTATTTATACAATACCTTTTCCGGCTTTTCTTTTGCTACACCTCTTTTTACAAAACATAACGCCGGAATAAAGTCAATAGACGGTTCTGCAGGTGCATCTATGTCTTCCATTTTTATAAGAATTATAAATTAAATATTTATGAATTTTATAAATATTAAAGTAATCAAAATAAAATAGAGCAATGAAATGATTCCAAATGATGTATTTTTTGTTGATATCGCAACTAAACGTCAAACGCACGTGTATTTTTTATTGTTATCACATTTAAATGTCAAAATACTGACTACTAAAATGTCTTCTGCGTTGATATTGAAGTTCAATTTTAATGACATCTACTGGCATAATATGAAAAATTAGTGTATGTAAAAAACGTAACTTTATTAGTTTGTGAATTACTCTTATGTTTAGCTTTTAGATTCTTTCCTTCAGAAGTCATACGGTATCAAAAGCACTTATTAGGTCGGAAACTATTTTTTTAATGAAAACTTAAATAAAAGAAAATATTTTATTTGCACAAAACAATTATGTAAGTATCTCTTAGCAAATACTATTAACAACACTTCTTTCTTTTCTAGTCATCTTTATCAAAAACTTTTTTTAGTGGGAAAAATTATTTTTTTCGTAAAATTTATTGTGATTTCATTCACATATTAATTGTAAAAGTATTGTTAGGTTTGTGTCTTAGTTAAATATTATACTCAATCCTCGACAAACTAAAATTTCGTTGTTTTTTAAATATTGAGAAGCGGCGCTCATATTTGGTGTTTTTACATTTTTTTGTTGTCAAAAGTAATAACCGTTAAACAGCGTGTAAAATTTTAATTATGTCGTATGGTTATTCATAAATTATATTTAATAATAATCAAAAATATCGCAAACAAATTTGAAAATAATTTAAAAAGCTACTTCTGGTTATTAGAAAATTTTTTGGATAGGTAAGTTGATAGAGCTCAAATATTGTTAATTAACTCTATTATAAATATTAAAATTAACTCAATGGAGTTAATAAAAATTGTCGAGTAAAATTTATTTATTTTTTTTTAATTTTAACAAAATTTGTTTAATTGATGCAGAAATAATTTAATATTTCATATTTAATAAATTCTATTTGAATAAAAAACTTAAAAATTTACTGAAAATTTGCAAACATATCACTTGTTGATTCAAAAAGAAATCAACTGCAATTATAACATCGTAAAATACACACATACTTACATAATATAGGCAGATACTTATAGTAAATTACACACAATTCAAATAATGAATGCTTTATTCTTTATAGATAGGTATATTTTCATAAAATAAAATTAAAAATCAAAACAAAAACTTAACCTACAAAATTATACATAATTTTTTTAAAAGAAAAGAAATATTTAAATATGCACGCATACATATATCGCTATCTACACAGAATGTACGTATAACAAAATGAGTAAATCCTTTCCAATAGCATAACAAAAAGTCAAAAACATTTTGCATTAAACTAAGTTGCTCCTTTTTTTTTCATATATTCTAATGTAAACAATAACGTAAATAATACCTGTTTGAATGAATATACATGTGCTAAATTGACACCTGTTACTAGTAAATATTACACAAAAAAAAAGCAAAAATATATTCACAAAAAATAAAACATAAACACAAAATTATTCAAAAAATAAAGTGGAATAAATTATAGTATGTATCCACTTAAATTTTCCATTCACGTTCCAAATTTTATTGATTTTTCCAAAAAGTTTTCAAAGTAATGCACATGCGTAAAATTTATTTGTTGAAGGTTATGGTGCTTTGATATTATTATCAAGAAATAAAGACAATTTTTCTTAATTTAAATACACATAGTCAATCCACTCAAAATATTTAATATAATGAGGTTCTCCCCTTTTTTTTTTAAATTTTACACATTTCTTAATATAAATCCATTCATTAAAATATTTACAATGCTAATAAACCAGCTTAGCTTAGTTTTGAAAATTTGCATTAAAAAACATTCTTGCTCATCTATGCACATATGTTATTATTACTCATATATTTTATAATTTCATTATTAATTAATTATTTTTTAATTCATCTTATTCTAAGCATTTGCAAATGCTTTGGTAAATTATTATATAACACGATTCCACGATGTATGATATTCTACTTATAGTTCAAAATTTAATGTTTTTTTTATCCGTAGAGGAATAAAATCTTTATTTCTGGTACTAACATCATCATTGTATTTTCATCTAGACAAAATTGTTGTGGTATGTATGAAAGAATTAATCATAATCATCTATTGATTTATTTGACAGTCTTTGGTGTACTAAATTTAAAATATATTCACTTTCGCTCCCTTTTTTTAAGTCAATCAGTAGAATTCCAAACATATCATAAATTTGTTATACATATGCGGTTTAACCGCTTTACTCGACATACTAATTTCACTATATTTCCAAAATTTAATAATATTTATTCGAACAAACTGTAAATTAGCAATTATGAGCTCAGTTTTCGCTATCGTGATGTACTACAAAAGGTCGAAACGATATTATACGTCTAAATAATGAAAAGGTCTAAACTATCCCACACACACATTATTTTTGGACACTATTTCCAATAGAAAAATATTCATCCTTGATATTATTTGAAGGATATAATGTGTGTATCCTTTTTTCTTATTGTGTATATACCTTATATTATTTTTTCATTTAAAGTTAATCGATCTTAAAGAAAAGTTGTGCAAAAGTGAAAATAAAATAAAGAATTTACACACAAAGAAGAAAGAAATTTTCTATTTAAAAAAAAAAAAAATTCATTTTAAATTTTTTCATTTTTCAAAAAAAGTTGTAAATTAATTGCTTTTTTACACATTTTTATTACAATAAAAAAAATAATAACACAGTTAAGTTTTGTATTTTTCTAAAATTTTACACAAATTTATACTTTTACAAAAAAAAAAAAAAAAAAATTTTAAATTTTTCTTTGTAAATTTTCAAAGTAAATTTTTTTTCCTTATATTGTTATTAAAATATTTCATAAAAAAAAAAACTTATTTTATTATTGCCTAAATTTTTTACTTAATTTTTAAAAATAATTTTAATTTTTTATATAAAATAAACCACAAAAAAAAAGATCTTTTTTTATGCATCAAGTATCTTAGAAAATATACATATACATATATATATTTATTTTATTATATAAAATATAAAATATTTATAGAAAATAAGAATTTGTACTAATTTTTAATTATAATTAATTTTTCTAACAATATTTTTTTAAATTTTTTCACTAAATTTTTACATTTTTTGATATTGACTGAAAAAAAAAATATTTAATTTCTATCTTTTTTTTTTATTAGTCACAAATATACATATACATACACAAACATAGGTGTATACGCCTTTACATTCATAATATGTAATTATATGTATATCATAATATTTATTATATACGTGTACATTTAATATTTTTTGAATTACACTTGTGATATAAAAAAGAGAAAATTTTTAAAAATTAATTTTTTTTTAATTTGTTACAGTATAACTTAATAATATTTACAAAAATAAATAAATAAGTGGAAATCGTGTTTTCTCCCTCATAAAACAAGTTTTTTTCCTCTTTTTATTTCTCCATTTTAATTATTTAAAAAAATTTTTTTTTGGCTCCCTCTGTAATGAAAATGTGTTAATCCTGCGTGAAATTAATTTTTTTTTTTAATTTTTTTTTTTTTTTTTTGAATTTTAATTCCAAATTTTTCTATAAAATGTTTTCCATTTTTGTTATTTGGTAGTTTTTTTTCGGATTCATTTAATTTTTTTTTTTTTTGGTATGAATTTGCAATTATAAGATGTTTTCCTTAATTAATTATTTTAATTATTAATTTTTGTAAATAATTTATTATGATTTTATTAAAAAAAAAAAAATCCAACAATACAAAAAAACGAAAGCCAATATAAATAAAAATGATTTTTAAAAAATTTTTTAATATTTAACAAAAAAAAACAAAAAAAAATCCAAATAATTAAAAGTCAAAATTATTGATCCAAATCTTAGAGCAGACTCCACACTTTTTTTTTCTAATGAGTGGAGCGCTGTAAGAAAACATCATCGTCCTTTGCAACAGGTATGTACCATACAAAAAAAAAATTTTCTTCAAAATGAAAATTTATTGATTTTTTTTTTAATTTTTATTTTTTATTTTGCTGGTAGACAAAATCTTCTAATGAAAAGGGAGTTGAATTTTTTTTGTTCTCTTATTTTAATATCGTTTTGTTTTTGGTTTTATTTAAAAATTATTTAGACTTTGATTATTAAATTAATTAAAATAAAAAGAAAAAATATTAACGTTTCAATTATATTTTGAGTTAATTTTAAAAATTTAATAAAAACGTTTAAATTGTTTAAAAAATTATTTTTTAAAAATTTACAGTTTTAATATATAGTTTTTACCTTGATACAGAAAAAAAAAAAAGAGAAATCTTCATGCATATATACATAATGTAGGTACTTAATCCTATATATTACAAAATTTAAGAATTTATTTGCTTACATTTTATGTGGTCATTGTAGGAAAAATCAACAAGGATATTTTTTAATGAAGAAGTTTTATTTGTCTACCCCTACATATACAAAATGTGAAGGTCATATTTTTTAATAGTTTCATATACAGATAGGGTTTATATACTAAATTTATTTATAATATTGTATAGATATTTTTTATATATAAATAAGGTACACAATATGTATCTATATTGTTTTCTATAAAAACATAAATATGAAAAATCATAAATATTTTTGTGAAAATCTTTAGCTTTTCTTTCTAAAATAAACAAGTGGTTAAACCCTGACAATAAACCTGACAATTAAATAGATAAAATATTTTTCGCCCGAAATTGAAAAATAGCTGAGTTCCTATTTTCAGATTTGTGACAAGTGTATCCATTAAAGGACACTTTTCTCCTTTAAAAAACTAAATACTTTTATGATGAAAAAAAAAATTAATCTAATTAAAAATTTAATTTGAATACGAAATGTTTGTTTTTATCCAGTTTCAAATTTCACTCCTATATTATAATATTATTTTATGAAATTTTGTTCTAGTAATATCATTCCAAATTTCAACTTATTTTACTAAAATTATGAATTGTCAAAAACATTAAATTGAAATTTTTTTTTACGGAAAATGTGTATATAGCAAATACCATTCAAGAGAATAAAAGAGATAAAATTTACTACCAGTTTATTTAACTAGTAGCTGTATTACCACGATATAACGGTATATCGCTAATCAGTAGTTAAATCAAAGTAAATTTTTATTAATTTAGGTACAATAATTATGTAAGTTAAATAAAAAAATTATCTCCAACAATAATTGACATACGTTTGGTTTCCCATTGTCAACAATCATGAAATTAAATGATGTAAGAATCGTGTAAACACATACTTCTGAATAAACGAATATAGTGCATTTATTTAATATCGTAATTCGTAATTGATGACGTAAATTCTGTATAATGATAATCTATTGACGTGTACAAAAATAGAAATTTTACGTAGAATAAAATTGGTGGGAAATCTAAAATAAAATTAAGATAAAATGGAAATAGAAAAAGAAAATTTCATAGAATTTTCAATTATATACTTGTATCCAGACATTTAGATAAAAAATTCAAATTGATACATGCTACATACATATGACATCAAAGAGGCTACAAAATAATATTTTATTCCCCTGTGTGTTTTATTAAAGATAGCCACAACCCATCAATGTAAATATAGAAGAGGATGCTATTGAAATAAAAAAGGTATTACCTATGTATAATAAAAATAGATTTAGGTTTAAAATATTCCAAAATGATTTTATTTATTATTTTATAAAAATTTAATCCGATTCCTGTAAATTTCATAATGTTGTTTTAAGTAAAAAATTGCCTTCCAAATAAGATCATTTTGTACTTTCAACTATACTTGTTGGCCAAGCTTATCAATTGGTAAACTAGTTGAATAGAGCTATGCAACTTGAATAAAGTTTCCAATATTTGATTTATACTCAATTACATATTGCATTTAATCCTTTATCTTAAAGAACAAAGTGTAACCTAACAAAACATAAAATTTATTGTGGTTGAAAGTACCACGTAAGGTTGTGAACAAGTAAGGTTGTGAACATATGTAATATTGTAATCAAAAAAATTCTTAATTCCCAAATGGTTTTAATTAAATGATTGTATGATTTAAGTTTTTTTTTTATGCATAATTTTAAAATGTAGTATCTACAAAAACTTAATTTTAAAATTAAAGGTAGGTAAAATTTTTTCAAAAATCGTCGTATTTTTTTTTCAAATCTTAATTACTTACATATAATATTTCCTTTGTATATTTTAAAAATAATTTTGTAAAACTAGCGCAAGAAATTGTCGTGTCTTGATTATTACCTTTTTAATAAGCCGTATAGGTATAAGATTTTTATTACAATTCCATAACCAAGTATTTTTTTAATGTCAGCATAATAAATAATGAGTGAATTTTAAGATTTTGAAACCCTTGTAATTTTGGTAGCTTGTTAGTTTGTTTTTTTCTTTTTGATCCGTCCTTTTTTTTTTTTTTTTTAATATACTTACATTATTTTTGAAATGCAACTGTTTAATCTCATCACCTTATTTATTTTATAGTTATATAAAAGAACATTTTTTTTATATACATTTTATATATTTTTTTCTAAAAACCTATTGGTAACGGCCTGATGATTTTTAAGTTTTTTTTTGAAATGTGTATACTTAATTAAAAATTTTCAGCATGACCTTAAAAAAGTTTTTTTATACTAAATATATCTATATATTTGCACTTTGAGAAGTTGAATTAAAAATCTACAAATAAAAATGCATGAAATAAATGAATTCATTTTTTTTTTTTTACAAATATTATTATGGCAACCATATGTAATATGAATACTTGAAAAATACAGTTAAATATAAATAATATAATACATATATATTTTATTATTATAATTTTAGGATACCAAATGCCAGAGATCTTAAATTTAGCTGGGATGGCAGACGCCGAACCAGATTTATCTACTTTTGAAAATAAAACCGGTCTGGCAGAAGACATGAAATTTCTTGCCTCAATGCCAGAACTGTGTGATGTTACATTTTTAGTTGGGGATACCAGAGAACCTGTTTGCGCTGTTAAAGTAAGTTTTTTATTATAAATAACATAGTATCATATAAGTATATCGATATTTATATAAACCAGTTTTTTAAAGTCATATAATTTAAGATAGACTTAAGATAATATTTAACTATTGCATACAATTTCCTTCTATTTTTCTTAATCTACAAGGATTTTGATTTGTATAATTCACTAAAGTAGATTTTTGATGAACCATTATCTATATTCTAATATAATAAAGCTTATTCTTAAGAGTTTATCTTTTTTTTTAGGCTGTTTTAGCTGCACGTTCAAGAGTATTTGCTAAAATGTTATATTCAGCACCATCACCACAAAGAAAACGTGAAACTTCAACAAAAGAAAATAAATTGAGATTATTTTTGAAAAGATCTTCAGAACCATTACTTAATTTACAAAATGCTGCTCAACAGGTATATTACATAATTAATTATAATTCTAATTTAAATATTTGTAATATTTTTATATATAAATATTGTATATAAATTATTCACCGAATTTTATCATCACGTTTTAATATGAATATAATATAATGTATTTATATTAATATATTTTATATATATATTAGAATACATCAATTTAATTTAATTAATCATTATTATAAAAAAAATCCTATTAATATATGTTTATAAAGACAGAGTAAAAAATTTAATGTAATTAATGTGGAGAATGTTTTGCGATAAAGTGCAAACCATAAAAGAGATAATCGATGTCATAACAAAAATTATGATTTAAGGATATTTAAATCAATGTATAATTTTGAAGATTTATTTGATAAAACCATAAGTTATATTTAACAGCCTTTTTCTATTAATTAAATTCAATAACCTTTAAATGTCGACTAATATTCACATGTTACCACAAAAGGTAACTAACGTGACTTGAATATAATTAGATTTACAATTTTTATTAAAACAACTTTAAATTTATCAACTTAAAAATTATATTGCCATCCATAATTCTATCAAAAAACATCTCTTTTATGATCAGCACTTATTTGCTTTACGTTCTACCCAAATTAAAAACCAAATAATATAAATGTCTTCAATATATATTGTAAATACAGAGTTTTATAATTGTTATTTTAAATAAGTATTTAATTGTTATACATTGAGACAGTTAATTCAGTAACGAAAAAAATCAAAAGATCAAGTTTAAGTTTCTATGGTTTTATCGAATGTGTTATATATTATATAATTCATAATATTATATAAAATGTGTAAATGTATATTAAAAGAAAAACATGAACGTTACAAGTTATTATTAAACATTAATGATATGACTGTAATTTGTTATTTTTTGTAATATATAATTTAATTTATACTATGATTATACATTTTGATATTTAAATACGTTATTCTTTTAATATAGAAAACAGAAGAAACCAATTTAAATTCTTTTTTTAAAAAATTTCTATTGCAAATTACTTCTAATATATATCAATTATTTTCCTCTCAATTCTAATATATTACATACATTTGGATATTGAATCCTTAATAAATTTAAAAATATTAATTATAAATTATAAGAAATTTTAAGAATTCATATTTTATACATAAATTGTAAGTCATAATTCATATACATAAAGATGATGAAAATGTTTAATATTCAAATAAGAAACAAACATTTTATAATAAATACCAATGCATTTGCAATCAGTTGAAATTGTAGAAAACTTGTTAATATTCATATTAATTCTGTGAAATGAATAGAATCCACGTACGAAATTAATAAATTCATTAAAAATGAGTCCAACTTGCGTAAACAAATTTAGCCATTTACAAAATTGTATACTTACAAATGAATTGCTAAAATTTTTATTAAACAAAAAAAAATTAATTATGCAGAATAGGTAAAAATAAATTATTAAAACTTTATGTAAGTACTCTATAAAATTATATTCATATTCGAGGATTCTCTATATAAGTATATAAGAATTTTGTAAATATGTAATTAAAATCGTAATTCTGAATGTTAATATGATTCATTTACAAGTAAATATATTTATGTGCATATTAAAATATTAGAATATAAATTGATCCCTATAAATATTTAATGCATTTAAATTTTGTGTGCATTTTAATGAAAAATTAAAATTAATTTTTTGCATACTATAATTAACAATTTGTAGTTACAACAATGTTTTCATTTCGAACTACACAATATATACAATCACCTATGTATAATAATATTTTTAAATATTAATAATATTAAGAAAATGAATCTGTCGAATTCTGCCATTAATATTTTAACAAAAATTAGTAGATTTTCCTTTGTTTTTCTTTTTTTTTTTTTTTTTGCAATAAAAATCAATAATTTTTTTTCTATATTTTTCAATTTAATATATTTCACTATGTGTATGTGTAGAGGAGCGGGTTCAGCCAACAATTGGCACCGATTCCGGAGGTAAACTATAAACAAAACAAAATAGGCACATTAAATTTAAAAAGAAAAATACTTTTTTTTTGTCATGTGAAATTTTTTTTTCCTCAAATTAATTCGTTATTTTCTTGAAATACATATATTTATCTAAATATTTTTTCTGCACTCTACTGTTTTACACGCATATTTTGTTAATCGCATCACTTTGGGTCATAGGATATTGTTAAAAAAAAAATTTGGTTTTTCGATATGAAATTAAATAATAACCTATCACGTCAAGTGATGCGACTAACAGAATATGGGTATTTTATTAATTAGTTTCAATTATAATTTTACTTATTGAGTAAAAAACAAAGAAATTGTTTCAAAGCTGGTTGTCCGTATTGTTGAAAATGATTAGGGAACTTTTTTTGTTTCAACTTATCTTTGAAATTACGTATGTACACAATGTATTAAAACAATTCAAATATTTTATATTTAATAAATATTCTTAAATGCAACCATTTATAGCTAAAAGAATTCTTACAGGATATTATGCTCATAAATATCAAGTCCCCAAATGCCATACAACGTTAGAGTATAACAATTTATTGTTAGAGTATAGCTTCAAAAAAACATTTCGAATAGTTTACAAGTTAAAGGATAAGTTTAAAGGAAAAACCATTTTCTTCAATATTGCCACCTAAGCTTTGATTCACATTATTAAAATCTATATAAATTTTATACATATATCATGAAAATCTGAAAATTTTAAGTTTTGTTTAATTAATATGAACTTTTATGTATTATTAAAAAGTTTAATTGCATGTTCTTTTATCACTTTATCTTTAATTCCTTTTGTAATTTATGAAATATTATATTTTCTATTCTTAAGTACACCGACCTACCTTATGTAAATATGTAAAATCTTTAAATTTTATCTTACTTCTTATCAAATGTTTTGACCTATTATGAAGATGTACTTTATATTAGAGATGCTAGATTATTATTTTTCTAATTTACAATTTTCGAATATTTTTATTATATGAAAGATTCTTTTGCCTTCTCGAATTATTTTTTAAGTATTTTAAAATTTGTACTGAACTATTTCCATTTCAAAATGCATTTGAATCTCTCAATTTTTTCCAAATTCAAATGTTTCAAAATATATTGCATTCCAATAGTTATTAACAATATGATATTATGTGAAATCAATTATTAAATTTATAATCAATTGATGTACAGTACATTGTTAATTTTAAATTCCTAATATTTAACAACTTTAAGTTACTAGACTCTAAATAAAAATAAGTAAAATATAATTATACATAAATAGTAATAATTTTATAAATTTCCGATGAGCTATTTAATGTTGTAATTAAACAAATAATGGTTACTGTAGTTACACAAAGTTCTAGTTATCACTTTTAGAATAGTCTAGTTGGTAATATTATTATTATTATTGTCATTATTATTATAGAACTATAGAAGAGCATAATAAAATCTTAAAAATATGTACATTTTATAATGAATTGATAATGTTTATAGATTTATGTTCAAACTTAGACATAAATATTTTATACATACTTGTAAAGTTGTAATCTTAATAATTTTATATTTTTGTTTTACTTAGCCTCAAACTTATTATTGTTACTCGTTCTTCATAGATTATTGATATGTCCTTTTTTTACCCCCAATCATCTATGTATTAGTTTTACACACATACTTAATATTTAAAAAATTTTTAAGTCAAATTTGAATATGTGTGAAAAAACTGTGTCGTAAATTTTTTGTATCTTTATATTACGGTATCATTTTCAAAAACAAAGAGAGCTTGGCAATCTTAAATTTTAACTGAAACAGTAAAAATATTCACACACAATAAAATTTTGACTTAAAAATTTTTTGATTTTCTTTAATTCTGTCTAATTTTCTTAAATAAAATTTAATTAAACATCAACTATTAACAAATTTAATACAATTAATATGAATTTTTTTAAAGCCTGCTGGTCAACAACATCAAACATTAATTATTGAAGAATTTGAGCCTGATGTATTTCGTCAACTCATCGAATATATTCACACCGGATGTGTTACATTACAGCCAAGAACTTTACTTGGTAATTATTTTTATAAATTAACGTAATAATATGTACATAAACACATATGTATATGTAGGTATATCTATGTATTAATTAAATATTTAATAATAATATTAGGAAATAAAAAATTTGTAAAATTATAAATTTATTATAGGTGTCATGAATGCAGCCGATTATTATGGTTTAGAAGAGTTAAGACGGGCTTGTGCTGGATTTGTTCAATGTTGTATAAATGTTGATACTGTTTGTGCTTTATTAGCATCGGCTGAACGTTATATTCAATATAAATGTACAAAATCTTTAGTTCAAAAAGTTTTAGAATTTGTTGATGAACATGGAAATGAAGTTTTAAATTTGGGTAGTTTTACTCTATTACCTCAACATGTTGTCAGATTAATTTTAGCTCGTGAAGAACTTAGAGCTGATGAATTTACGAAATTTCAAGCTGCTCTAATGTGGAGTAAAAAATATTATGATAATAATCCGGTATTTGATAATTTGCCTATAAAATTTTTCTATCATTTATTTTATAATTATTAAACTTTTTTCAGAATATCGACATGAAAGAAATACTTGGAAATTTTTTGGAATACATTCAATTTCATAAAATACCAGCAAATGTTTTGATGCGTGAAATTCATCCATTGGGTTTAGTTCCATATTCCATAATTATGAACGCATTAGCATACCAGGTAAATCAATGTGTTCTTATATTTGCAAATTGATATTAATTTTTTTTGTTCTAATTTTTGGCTTCTTACTCTTAAAAATTTTTATTTTTTATATTCATTTTGCAATTACAATTTTAATTTTTGCATTTAATTTAAAAAAAAATATAAATTTATCATATATTTTTCTTCGCCATACCCTTCTGTCCCATTTCTGATTCTAATAATTACAGGCAGACCCAGCAAGTGTCGACCCCGGAAAGTTATCTCCAAACTCTAGCAGAGTGAGAAGAGCACGTCAATCCCAAGGCAGATCGATGTCAGTTCAAAGTTCAATGGATCCCTATGGCTCGAATACAACTTTAAGCTCAAGTGGCAGTAGTGATCCAACAAGTGGTCCACCAAATAGCAACTAACATAAGTTGAACGGTCCCTCTTCCTCCTCCCACCATCATTCTAAACATTCACTACCTAAAATTCGAAAAGCCAAATCTCAAAGTTTTCGTACTCGTCGAAGTCCATCTGAACGACGCAGTCCTAATAACCTTGTACAAAATCAAACACCGCTTAGTTTAAACACAAGTGACTTAAAACCATCCAAGAGAAGTCCACTAACGCCGAAGAGTCCACTTTCTCCTCATCCTCCAGAAAATAAAAGTACTGGAAGTCTTTCGCAAAGAACCACTCCTACATCACTTTCAAGACAAGGTACTTTGAGGGCTTCTCATCGTCGTAAAAATAGTGTTACTGGATCAATGAGCTTAATACAGGGACGCAAAAGCCCAGTAAATTTAGTTGATCAAGGCAGAAGAAGTCCGTTATTACTATTACATGATCGCATGAGGAGCCCAAATGAACCACCAATAAATGGGGCTTTTATCGACTTTCGAAGTCCTACAAAAAGTCCAACAGATCGCCGCAGCCCAACGTTAAGTGTTCATGATCGTCGAAGCCCAGTAAATATATTAAATGATCAATATCAAAGAAGGAGTCCAACATCTACAGTTCATGTACAAGATGGAAGGAGCTATGATTTGGATGAAAATATGCAAGAAGATGAACAGCGTGGCGGAATTTTGCAAACTACTGCAATATGTAAAAGAACATCTATATCATTATTTACTCCGATTCCGATGAGTGGCGAAAAACGGAGTCCTATTTTACCCATGCCTATTCCTCCAATTACGGTTTCCAATCCAATTGAGACTTGTAAAATAGTGGAACGAATGGCTGCGTCTAGTAAACAACCATCACCAGCGATGGAAATTTCAAAATCTATAGATCCACTAAAAAGTGAAAAGCAAACACCTGAATCTTTATCTTCCGATAAGGAATCAGGCCAGCCGGAAAAAAAAGAACGTACAAGTGTTATGAAAGAGATTTTAGCTTTTGTTCGAAAACCATCCAAACGCATTACAACCCGTACTGGAAGCCGATTCGCAGCAGCTTTTACACGGGCTGAATCTGGTTCCAGTAGTGGACCTTTAATTCGACAAAGCACATTTTCAGCAAGTCCTGCAGCTGCAAGCAATGCTGCAAAAAGTGCTGTCACGAAGCAAATGTCTGAAGTTGGATTTGAACCAAAGATGTCTTTAAAATTTGGTATAAACACAAAAATGTCATTGAAATTACGTCGATCTGCTGCATCAGATGAAAAAAAGAAAGATAAAAAATCCAGTGGTGACGAAGCCTCTGGCACCGAAAGCGATTCAAAATCAGAAAAGGTAGGTCAAAAAAAATCAACAAAACTGGACCGATGTAGTATTAAAAAGTCTAAAGAGCACATTCCCTTTGAGCTAGCAAACGTACACTTTGAAAAGGTAGGTGACTCTTATATTAAACACGATCAACCACAAAAAGATGAAGATTATATCAACGGAAATGGTTCGCTAAAACAAAAAATAGTCGCTTTGTCAAATGAAAACGCACAAAAAAATTTAATAGGCAGTGAACATTCTAATTCAGATTTGATAAGCAGTAGTAGTAGTTGTGGTAATCGTGTTGTAAAAGCTAGTAGTAGAGAGTTTCAGCAACGCATTAGCGAAGAACAAGAGTCTGATCCTATTGAAAGTATAGAACAATTTAAATCAGAACTCGAACAATACTTACAACCTATAAAACCTGAACCAATCTATGTAAATCTAATGGAATTAAGAAATGAGCTTGGCATGAGTACAAGTACAGAATCCATTAAACCAACACCCTTGCAATGTCCAATAATAGAATTCGAACCACCTTCGCGAAGATCTTCATTTGACCCTCCCCGCTCGCCATATCTTGAGAACCTTCGTAGTCCTGGTGTTGATACAGATCGCTCTGGAGGTGATAGTTTTGAAATGGTTGATAGTGGTGATCGAAATCGGGAATCAAGTTTTGAAGATCGTTACTCATCTCGAGATACAAGTTTTGATATATCTCGTTATCAGTCAACAAGTTACGAAGATCAAACGTCAAGTTTTGAAATTGTAGATATTGATACTACTCGTGCCGATGATAAAAAATCAAATATTGATTTACGAAAATCGTCTATTGAGTTAGTCGATGCTGAAACATTTGCAAGATCTAGTTCAGCTTCAGGACGAAAATCTTCTCTTGAAACTCATTTCGATTATATACCAACTGACAATCAATCTGGTAAACCTTCACCTTCAATTTTTCCATCAGGAAAAAAACAAAAACCAGATCACTTTCGTTCGAGAGACATTCATATATCACCTTTTAGTGCATTTTCACGAGCACGTAGCCCTCTCTCTAATCAAACTTCTTCGAATTATAGTTCAAGAGATAGCTATGATTCAAGTTGCTCATATCCACATTCATCATCTCATTGTGAATCACAAAAAAGTCCTTTTGCTGATCATACAAAACAACATTTCCCGTTAACAATTAAAAATGCTAATGATGATGTTGTAAAAACTACATTCTTATGTACAGATAAAAGATGTTCATCGATTTTTGAACCCAGAACAACTGTTCAAACCACAATATTAACAACAGTTGGAACAACAACAATTGCACCAGTTGCAACGTCTACAATATCATCTTCAACTACATTATTGAGTGGAGTTGGTTTAAATATAGTTCCTGTAACAAGTCCTGGTCTTATAACAATTCCCAATAATAATACATTAATTGGACGATCTGGTAGTCGTCCCGGTTGTATGAGTACATTAGAATTTGCTGAATTTGAACCACCATCTCCTAGACGAGCGGCAAGTGCTTCCCCAAAACATACTTTTACTTTTAGAATAGTTTTAAAAAAAGTAGATAGCTCACCTGATGCTATATGTCCATCAGCGGAACGTAGAGGTAGAAATCTAGATAGACATAAAAAACATCGTGATAGTCGTCGCCAGCGATTAAGTAATGCAGGGAAAAGTTTCTAAATTTGTTTTATTTGAAAATCAAAAAAATTTTTTTTTCAGAAATTTTAAATTTTTTACGTATTTTTATAAATTAATAATTATTTTATTTGTAGAAGAGTTTACATTTCTTGAATTCTTATTGCTGGGTTCCTAAATATGGAATTGAAAATTCTAATCAAATATACAAATTAATTATTAATTATATCTAAAATAATATTAATTTTCCAAATATTTTTATTGCAGTATTTTAAATCTTTGTATTGGTATTTTAAAAGTAGATTAATTTTTGAAAGCGTTTTTTTGTAATGAAAATAAAATTTTGATAAAAATTCAATAATATGTAGTTGTAAAATTACAAAAGCTAATATACTAATTTTGACAATCTTCAATCTCGTATCTGTATATCGTCTATACATTTATAATTATTATGTAATTTTAAATTAGATATTTTTAGGAAACTCTATTATAATCATTTTTATTTTAGGAATAAGAAAATGACTATTTAAATGTTAGAAAAGCATAATTAATTAATTGTTTTGATGAAAATTTAATTAATTTATAATAAAAATTATCATTATATCATACATATAATTAATATAATATTTTATAAAGTTAATTTTAGAAAAATTCGTGCGTATTTTTGTGAATTTGTATAGCAGATAGGACCAGAAGAGAAAAATCATCTTTTGTCAAATATAATTTTGTATGAATATGGCAATCTTTATTAAATGAATAAAAAATATATGTATTTCTTTTCAAAATAATGTGCATGAGAAATTAAATTAAACCATTTGTCGACTATTAACGTTCTCTCATAATGTAATTCCTCTGCATTAAAATAATAAATAGAATTTGTAATTCTATTCAAGCCAAATTGTTATTCCGAACCTGTACCCAACAATACGTAATACTTAATTTATTAAAAATTAAAAAGATTAAATAAGGGTTAAAAATTAACCTTCCTTTTATAATTTCATACATTAGTTGAACGTTACTCAAAATCGGTATTTTTTTAGTTAAGACTGTTCGTATATATAAGAGACGTAAATCTTTAACTATTTCTAATTAGTAAATACATATGCATAGATCTTAATATTAAAGAGAATATAAAATATTTGTGTTTTATCAGTATAAAATTTTTAAATCGAATTGGGTTGTAAGTATTTAGTCTGGTATCTTTAACATTACTACAAACTAAATTTTTTTCTAAAAAAAAAAACTGGCGATTAAATTTACAAAATTTTTTTTTTTAGCACAAGTTTTACAAATAAATCTTTTATTATTTTACACGCGTACTTAATTAAATGTATATAAAACAAGAAAACACAACTCTATAATTAATTAAAAAAAAAATTATAATTTTTTTTACTTTCTATACTAAAATTAAAATAGAACAAAATATTAATTCAACAAAATTATCACTAATTCTACTGCCTTAATATATCAAAAAAAAAGAAAAAATAAATTCAACTAAATTCTTATAAAAATAAAAATTATAAAATAAATTTACATTAAAATTTAAGCAAAAAACTCTTAATAAAATTAAAAGCAGAAAAAAAAACAGTTATTTATTTAATATTATTAAATGTGTGCGTGCGTTTTCATGGACAATTTGACTAAAATTTATATAAATTAGAGAATCTTATATTTTAACTAAAAAAAAATAAAATTTATTTATAAAAAAAAAAGAATCAAAATATTAAAAAATTAATTAAACAACAAAAAAAAAAAAAAAAAAAAAACAATCAAAAAATATTTAATCAACGTCGTCACTTCAAAGTAGCTTTTTTTATTGTTTTTTTTTTCGTTTGCAAGGTTTGTGATGTTTAAAAGTTTAAAAATAAATTTGCTTTCCTACATATATATGTATACGTGTATGTCTTAATAACAGTGAAATTCAATTATTAAAACTAAATACAATTAATTACATTAAATAATTTTTTTTTTTTTTTTAAAAACCAGCAGTTACATTAAAAATTTGAAATTACATTAAAAACAATGAACTTGACTACTAATAAAAGTTTTAAAAAATGACTCTCGCGGTTGACGCTATAGTTCTTCAACAATTTTTTGGCAAGAACCGGGGCGACATTATTACGCATTATTATTATGTTTGTAAAAAAAACGTACATATATATACATACATATGTATGGAGGTTCGCATACACTTATAATAAATTATGCATTTTTATTATTATATGCATAATAACACTTTATGTAAAACAACAAAAAAAAAAGAAAGAAATAAATAAGTATATAATTAATAATTAATATTACATAATAGTTTTTATCACATAATATTCTTTTTTTCTTGTTTGGTAAAAGAATGTTGCTAAGTTAGATATATAAATTGTATGTGTATAAATAAATATATATATTATATATTTTGTTACATTAATCATATACATATATAATATAATATGTGATAATTTTATATAATATATATATATACATATATAGAATACTATATACTATATATTTTAATGTAATAAATATATATATTATATATTTTGTTACATTAATCATATACATATATAATATAATATGTGATAATTTTATATAATATATATATATATATAGAATACTATATACTATATATTTGTGTATATATACTATATATACGAGTACTATGTAGTAGATTTATACTAATATATGGTATATGCGATATATATTAAAATATATATAAAGAATGTATATGTGTATACAAACATATATTAGAAATACATTCATACATACATACATACATATTATATGCTAAATTTAAATTTAGATATTTGAAAATTAATTAATTAATAATTAAAATTTTTATTTAAAAAAAAAAATAAAGTTGGAATTCAAACCAATCTTAATATTTATTTTTTTTTTTTTATTATTCTCAAAGGTAATATTATAAAGTTTTGTTAAAAAATATTATAACAATCATAAAAAGCACCATATATGTATATACAATAAGATACAAGTTTTAATTACAAGTATATACGGTTATTACTTAAAATATAGAGACAAAAAAAAAATTATATATTTTTATTTGGTGTTCTGCAAAATGTTTAGTTTATTTATTGTTTGCTGATTTGCAAGTTTTACAAAGTAAATAATTTAAAAATAAATAAAAATAAATATAATAATAAAAATAAAAGAAAAAATGAAAACAAAAAATGGACCAAAAAATTAATTTAAATTATTATTTTAAATTATTCAATTTATTTTGCTTTATATATTTATATCGTTGCAAATTTAAATACTTATACACATTAAAATATACTGTTATATTTCATTAATTTATTGATAATAATTGATTTTCAAAATTTTGATAATATTTTTGAGTAATAATTTTTTTGAGTAAATAAAATTCATTATGTAAATACGATAAATTACACTGGTTCCTTGATATACGACGTCTTCTAATACGACATTTTCAGTTACGACACAATATAATTTGAGTCATTATTATTTTTCGACACTTGCGACATGAATTTCGTGATACGACATCGAAAAATTTTTTAGTATTTTTACTTTTAATTGAAACTTGAGTAGAATTCATTTTTATTGAATTTTGTAAATTATTTATTATACTTTTTTTTGTATATTTTCGAGATTTTATTTTTAATTTTTATTAATTTCTTAGTTAAATTGAAAAATAGCAATTACGTTTTCATAATCATATATTATTCTTCTTCCTCTGGCGACAAATCGGCTTACGACTTAAATTTGTGTTACCAAAAATGTCGTATTTCGAGGATATAGTGTATATAATATAGTAATTTTTATAGTTATCAAATATAATTTTATAAAGTAATTTTTATTTCTTTAAATTTAATTTTTTTTTTCTTTGTAATCTAATAGATTAATTTTATTTTGCTTTAATATTTAATAAAAAAAAAAAATCATATAATATTAGACAACATGCTGGAAAAAGGGGCCGTTAAATATAAAACAAAATAAAAAAACAAAAAAAAATGAAACCAAAAAAAATTTTTATAAGTTGTAAAATTAATTAACATATAAAAATATGTTATACACATATACATCTATTATATGAAGAATAAATTGAGTAAAATATTTATGTTATAAAACAAGAATAAAAAAGTAATCACTGCAAAAAAAAAAACGAAACAAAAATAAATAAATAAATGTAATATTTTATATAAATTGTCAAATTGTTAATTGTTTTAGTGCAATTTTAGCTGTAAATTTATTGCTTTGTTATTTAAATGCAATTAAAAAAAACAGAAACAAAAAAATATAATTATACATAATATATATGTAAAAGACATACTTGGCATATATAATCTCATGTTTTATATGTTCTAAAGCAAAATGAGACTGTAGCTCCATTTGATTTTTGAACAAACTATAAGTATATACATTCGTGGATCCGTTTATATCCGACATTTTAAAATACATAAATATGAGCTTTTCTTTTCAAAAATATTTTTTTGAAACTACTCCAATGTATTATTTATGTGTATGTATATGTACAGTTTGTTCGAAAATAAATGGAAAATAATACATGCTTACATTTTTAAAAAATTTTCTTTATTTTCTTATTATTTTTAAAACATACATTATATACATATTATTTTTCTCTGCATTATATATATTTTGTTTTATATTTTTTATTTATTTTTACATATATTATGATTTCATTATAATAACTATTCCATATATTATTGAAGAATTTCTTAACAGCCTAATTGTGTATCTCGCTTTCTTGTTTCGCTTTTAATTCAGTTTCAAATGAATATTATAATTTTTTTTAATTGAATATGTCATAGATTGCTCTCTTTTTCAATTGGATTTTCGTACTCATTCTAAAAATATCAACTGATCCTTACTTCACAAACAAATAACCTTGTAGCGATTGTAGCGCCACTTACTTTTTCAACTTGATTGACGTGTTATGTGAAATAATCAATAATAAAACGTTTCAAGCGAAATCAACAAGAAAAAAAATTTTCAATAAATACATTTATATTTAAAAACAAAAAATTCATTTGCATTTAAGTATACGGAAATATTCCAATAGTGATCTCTTCTTATAATTTGATTAAATTTTTTTATTAAAACTTATATTTTTGGTGTATCCATCTTGCTTGTCACTTGCTAAATGCTTTTCAATGAAAAACATCGCTTCACTACGCCAGATGTGCATCAGAACGGCAACAACTGAAAATATGACTGAAACATATATTTCTCGATATTTCCCCACAATTTTTGTCAGTGCGATCGTCACTTGGAATATCAAATTTAAATCGTAATGATATTTGTCGCTCAACTTCGACAACTGGAATAAAGTTCAAAGTGATTTAAATTTTGTATACATTTAAAAGAAAAATGAGATATGAAATATGAAAAGATTTTTCTCAATCGAAAA